CCATACGTGATAGCTAGAAACAAGTAATAATCTTGTCTTATCTGTTTATAATTTATTTCTAATCTTGTATGAACCATTAAATACAACGCATAATTTGAGCAAGTGCAATAACTAACAATGTTAAATTCTCACGCTTTTGACTGAATAAGCATATCTTTCCAGAATGCTTAGAGCATCTCTTCTCAATAGTGCATAGTGATGTCATAACTAATAATCCGTTATATATTGGACCTAACGTAACGTGTGTTAAAAAGCACTAAAAAAGTCATTATGACTGCAGTTAATTCGACCTTATTAAACCCTCCTCACAAAAGCTGCATGACTCCAAAATTAGACCCTACTGCAGTTGGCTACCGTATGAGTAACTTCCATTGGTGACTTTCAAGCCAGATTCGGAAGAGCGAAATGAAAAGAAAATATAAACCATATTTATTTTTGTCTACTTTATATTTTAGGCAAGTGTATTTTATGTTTAAAATGTTTGCATTTTAGCATCTTATTAAATATAGATTTTACTGCTATCTTTCGTTGGAGTTCCTTATACACTTTGTGAAGAACCACTTTTACAATTTATAATTAGGATCCATTCACTTTGTTAGATTCGGTGTAAATAGCGTTATCATTTATTTGCATCATTTTTTAAAATCAGTCTTCCTTGTTGCGTTTATTTCTCAATGTTAATGGTTGGCAATTGACGCGTCAACACAAATATGATAGTTATCATGTACTCTCATATCTAGGATTTTTGAGTTTTTAGCAGTGTAATGTACTAAATTGTGTAAAATATAAACCCTAAAATGTGCATGGTTCACGAAAATTCCTCTTACGAGCTGTTAAATAGAGAGTTGTTACAAGTTGTTAATTGCAGATTATTCGATAATGAAATGTTAATTATATATACAAGTATGATGTGATGCACAAGTATGACAAACTATGTTGTAATTAAATTATGTATAGTCTAGTAGAAATAGTTTTGGAATGAAGCACAAAAGACAGTATAAAAGCAAGAAAACAATACGAAACCTAGATAAATATCGACATTGCTCACAGTAACTAATCTGAAGCAAAGCTTTTCCAATTCTAAAACATTGTAAAGAAACATACACATAATAAATTACATTCTATACTTTATAATTACAGAAATATTGTTAAAAGTGAAGACAATTTAGTTACATCCTTTAAAAAGCTGTCATACTCAGTCCTTTATCTTGATTTCGTAACTTGCCTTAAAAACTTCGCCTTGTGGAGTCAAGAAAACGATACGTTCAGCTCTTCCCTGTTTCTTTGGTACAGGAATTCTGACAGTAATTTGCAGTGAGGTTCGGAATGTATATTTATATATAAATTTAACTTCCTTATGGGGTAGAGACGTATTTTGATCCAGGCAAATCAGTTAGCTTCCTTACCTTTGTTCTGTACTGCAGTACTTGACCACAGTGGCGTGATGATACACGTTAGAGATTTTTAAAGACTCCAACTGCATTATGTAAAATCAAGATTTGTGAAAATCTGCAAAATGTGCCAGACATTAATTTCTAATCCGAATCATGCATGTCAAATTGCAATATAATTTCTTTGTATTAATCCATGATTTGATTTGTCCAAATCAACACTTTGTCCTAATTTTAAGATTTGTCTGAGTACTACTGCATCTGACGTATCTATTTTACTGCCAATAATATTATACTGTATTTCACACATGTATAATTTGTCAGATTCCATTTTAATGCCAATACTAGCTCATCACATAGTTATTGTACTTTTAATGATCTTGCAAAGGTCCCAGCTAACCTATGTAATAGATCAGGGTAGTCTAATATCACAGCGGACCATATGGATTAAACATGTAAAGTTCGTATGCCATACATGTATATATTATAGCAATTATATAATAATTATAGAGCTTACTTTTGGATGAATGCCAAAAAAGAATGACTTACGGGCCTGTAGCTGGACCAGTCTGTAATAAATGAATGCAACTTGTATAATCTTTTGAGCAGACAAAGACAGATGAGAAGAGAGATAGAAAATGATCTAGTCGATACGTTACCTACAACAGTTTAAAAATACATTCTTTTGGGTATTTGTTTGCAGTATGAACATTATTGTCTTGAAAGATTTGGATATTTGATTTCGAAACTTAAAACACTTTCATTGTGCTCAGAACATACGCTAGATATGATTTGTTATTATTATTATTGTTCTACATACTCTCAGATACTATTGTATAATTTCTATAGCAGAGCACCTACCAAAACATTTGAAAAATAAACATAAAAGCTGCATACGTTTTTCCGATTAGTTAAATATTTTCCAAATAAAGAATGAAACACCAGGATAAGCCGCAACAATATCAGATAGCATTCCATGTCATCTTGTATCCATCCCGAGACTCTAGTACTTATCTTCCTGTACGAATGTAACTCGCTTCCCAACATCGTGTGTCTTATTGTGTGTGTGTGTGTGTGTGTGTGTGTGTGCAAAGTCTCAATTTCATTGCTAATATTAAATGAAACTAATATGTTCTTGAAAACTGCATCATTTGCTACAAAATGAATTTATTCTAAAATGATTAATTTGGTGTGCACATTTTTTTGTATAGGCTGACATGTCACTCTTTCTTCAAAAAACGCAAAATCACTAGCGTACAGTCTGGAACAATTAAAAAATTGCAATGTTCTATTAAATCTTTTGAATTGTAATAATTATAATAATAATTATATAAGTCTGAAATCAATGATTAAACTCACAAAATGCTTTAATTTCTTCAGTCAGGTTGTGATTGGCAAACCAAAATTTGCTTGTCTGTCTATTTTAAAACAGTAGCTTTAGTAACAAGAAATGTATATTTGTCTGATGGCTTAGGACATTATCTCATTATATGTTATCACCTCGTTTTACTCCAGAATCGGACATAGACAACTAATTCAATTCCCATATTCCGGAATGAAACGGTTTGACAAATTACTATATTTCTTGATATGATCTGAAAACACGTATATATTTTTACTCCCATATTAATTAGTCTTATTCAGTAATATTTTCATTTTAAACCTTATGTTGGAAATGATAGCATTTTAATAGCTTTTTTGTTCTTTCTTCTCAAAATGTAATTTATCCATGATATATTAATAGTATATTATTCAATCATAGATTGTTTTTCAACTGTGGTCGCAAACGAGAAACATGCTATGAAAGATGCATACAGACAATAGCAGTATAAAAATTATACTAAACACTTTCCGTAATATTTTTATAGACACATATTTTGGCTTAGAGCATTTTTGACTACAAGTAACCATTGTAGATTTTTCATTGAGTCTCCGTCAGCTTTAGCGACTTTGTATGAAATCATTTTCGGTTTTCCATGAATGTATCAGCTTTAACGATTTTGACTGTATGTAACAACTATAGCTTTTTCATTAAATCTCTGTCAGCTTTAACGATTTAGACTGCATGTTACTATTGTCGATTTTTCATGACTCTGTGTTAACTTTAGCGATTTAGTATAAATTTTCTGCTAACTTTTGACAGAAACATGACGGTAATAAAGGAACTTGAAAGAACAGATAGGCGTGTTGAAAAGTACCTTCTGACAGAATCAAGACTGACGTCACCTTTGATAATAATCTGATTGAACATAGTATTTTAGGCTACAATAAGGTGAAAAGATTGACACTGTAAGATCATAAGAGTCATATCTTCTTAGAGTTAGCTAACATTTCAGAACTTACATATTTGTACCTTCCTTTATTCACTACAGTTTTAATACAAAATGTAAAGACTTATCAGTAGCAATACATTTTTGTAAGTCATATAGAAAAATAATTTGGCTGTATGATTTTAAACAAAGTAACATAAAGGAGGAAAACAAATGTATTTCTCTAAATTAAGAAAATAAACTTTTAAGAGGGACTTACAGAATAAAGAAACATAACTATTATGCAAAAGGGCTTTCTTTTATATTACATTCATATACATATGATAAAATAATAATTAATATGACGTAGAAAGATACCTTATGAATGATTGAAAGTACACACAAAGCAATATAGTACTTCTGTACATGCGTATCTGCATCGGCAATATCTTTTCCCTTGATGTGCTGATATCAATGTTGTATTCTTGTAACATCAATCTTTATTTTGTTAATGACAATAAGGAGGTTTTGATCACTGAATAAACTAAAAAAGAAAGAGCCGAGCAAATATACACTTCAAATGTGTTGCAAAGCCATTATCTGGTGCATGTTTCAGCATTGTAGAGAAAACGTACACTGGATGATGCACACTATTTTTATCTTCTTGATTAAACTCTCGACCAACCCTTACAACACTTGCATCAAGAGACAATTTAAATGAATTACTGAACAGTTGACCTGAAAGAAGCGGATCACTCTTAAGTATGGCCATTAAAGTTTTAAAAGCTTCCTAACATTTGTCAGACCAATGAAACTTGGTTCTCGTACTCAGCACGATGGCATGTGGTTCAGCAATTATGGAAACATATCGACAAAACATACGATAATATACATCCATACCCAGAATTCGCATTATTGAGTTTTTTTTCTAACAGGTACTTGAAATTCAGAGATAGCAATAACCTTAAATTGACCAGCGTGCCTCATAATATGTCCTATAATGTAACACAAGCACGGTAAAATTCATGTTTACTTAAAGTAATTGTCCGATTTACATCACTGAGTATATGACAAAGTCTAAGCCATTCTTGTTCTTTCAAATTGTATAAAGACCACAAATTTTCGTCCCAAGAGGAATTTGAGGTATAGGCAAGAGAGACAGGCTGAAAACTCTTTTTGTATTTGTCATACCTTAATTTCGTATTTCACGGATTGGACTGCACAATTGTGACCAGATATATAGTCAAGAAGAATTACGCTTACAATCTTCGGTTGAAGGAAGTTTGTTTTTTTTCTTATTAATTTCAATGGTCCAATGACAGTATGTCAAAAAACTAGTTCAAAGGAGTATACCCACACCGCTCCGGTGGCTAAGTGGTAGAGCATGCGCCTCGGATGCGAAAGGTTGCTATTTCGAACCCTGGCCGAATCATACCAAGACTTTAAAATGATACTAACAGTTGCCTTGCTTGGCTCTCAGCCTTAACAGGTTAGTGTTTGGACTGGTCGGCCTGGTGTCAGGATAATGTGACTGGATGGGACATCATGCTACATGTTTGTGGCATGACGCCCCAGTGCTAGAAATCACTATAAACTGTTACATTGCAGACATATATGAATGAAAAATTGTTAAAGCTACGTTATAAGTCTAAATCACACACACACACACACACACACACACACACACACACACACACACAGAGTAATAAATTAATACCATCAATGACTAAAGAAGTCACTCAACCGACAATCTAGGGTCCTGCACTTAAGTGTGATGCCAAATTAACACAATAATTATCAAAATAATTTGGCACCACTCTAATCCTTGAATAAGAGTACGTTTATTAGAGGAATACTTTTCAAAAGAGGCAAAGTACGTGACACTAGAAAACTCTGAGAAGCGCTTGTGTCTCTTAATATTTTAAGGGTGATATTCTTGGCAAAATAACCAAAATAATATAGAACCTTTCTACATGAATGGTTGGTCATTCTCCATAACAGAATCAACCGGAGGTTTGTTTGATCCAAGTATGAATTTCTTTCAGTACAAGACCGTGACCGTGAAATTCTTGAAATATTTGCATTTCTAATATTTTTGTCTTTATTCTGTTGCTTATTTTTCCATAGAAAATGATGCACCCTTTCTTCTTACAATAAATAGACATTAAAAGAGATAATGATTTCTGATCAGTCATATCCGAAGTTTGATTCCTAAAGTTGTGTCAGCATGAAGTCCTCCTCTGATACTTATATCCTTTCTTTTCCAAAAAATGCTGAGTGAAAGACTTATTGACAAACGAAACTTTGCGATTCACGGAAGAGTCATCAACATTACCCAAAGTTTCCATCTTTTGTTCATCAAGACATGTCTTGACATCAATATGTATAAAATTCTTGAACTATGCAACTAATGCGTTGTTTGAGGTTATCGTTATTTTTATCAACCTACGCTGAATAACCTCCTATCAAATAGTTGTTCTTCTTACCTTGCAAATTGGTTCAGTGTCTTTTCTGCAATTCCTAAATCCTTTTCGATATATATTCAAAATAATCCCTTAACTAGATCATAAATCATAACTTTTCTTTTTCTGACAGAAAAGTGTAGACTTTACGAGTTGTACACTTTCTGATTGCAAAGTCCAGTGCTACGTTTATCATTTCAAATTTTCATCACTTTGTTCAAATTTAGGAAAGTATTTATCTGATTTTTGTTTTTTATAATATGGGTACTAACTTAATGTTCTTGTAACATCAAAACATAAACGTGTATGTAAAATGGGGGAGTGTGCTGCCTCATCCAGTTATAATTATTTTAATTTCATTTGCATTCCCTTTTCTTTTCCTTCTCTCTTTCTCTCGTTGTCTCTCTGTATGTCTTTATCTGAATTTCCTTTTCTTCTCTCTGTATCTACATTTGCATTTGCCTCTCCGTTTGCTCTTTCTACATTTGTGTTTCTCCCTCGTCCTTTTCTCTATGCTTTTGTATTTCTCTCTCACCCTTACCTCTTTACGATTTTAGATTTCTTTTAGTTTGGAAGCTGAAGCTTTCTTAAGTCAATTTCCATCTGGTTTTGTAACTGCAATTCTTTTAATTTTCTATCAGAACCACATAAAGACATACTTATCAAACCACAAACACTTTCATCCATAAATATTCTTTTCCACCAAATATTGAAACAAAATAATCTTCATCTCTTGCTTCGGTTAAGAAGCTCTTGCGTCATAAAGAACATAATGCATTACAAGGTCATGCATCTTGTCCTTGTTAAAAGACTTTAATCCTTCATGGGTAGAGTTTAAAATAATTTTATTCACCTTAGATGGCATTATAAAAGCTCGCTGGTTGTTACGTAAGATGTCTCAAATATTTGAAATTAAAAACGTTACCAACGAGAACGAAAACTCCGAAATAAAGTTAATTTAAATTTGAAAGACAGTTCTGTCATATCTGAAACATTTGAAAATAATTCATATCACGGACGAGTTCCAGATTTCTGTTACGATTCTAAGAGCTCATAATTTCTGACTTCAAATTTAATAACATAGCCTTCTAGGATGGTAATTTTTATTACGTAATAGTTTTTTCAAGAAAATGCTAATAGTGGCTTAGATGACCTAAAGGGATTTATAATCTTGTTCAAAGAAAAAAATTATATATTCGTGCTCTAACATCTAGAGGCAGAATCATTTGGTTTGTTCAGTGATTGATTTTGGCTAAAATTATTTAATTCAAATTATTTTTCTCTAGAGATACAAAATGCTATTTAATATTCTTGGAAAAGACATACAACTACAATTTGTAGTGAATTCAAACAAGGAAACATTGGCTAATATTACTGTGATTCCAAAAATCACTATTGACAGATCATTCAATTCAGAAATGGGTACATTAGTGCATTAGAGACTACCGGTCATTGCAGGCATATCAATACTTTCAGCATTGGTAAATATTTAGAATAAGACTAAAGTTTTTTTTCAGACCTTTATTGATTAGGTTTTTTTGTTAGTAATTCTAGGATTTTTTTTTGGATTTAATTGGCAATACTGTATGTTCTTTTTAAAAATTTAATTTTGTGTTTTAGGCAAATAAATTATTTGTTGAATGTTAGAAAACGTGTTGGTTTTCTCTCTTATCTATTACTTAGTTTAAGACATTAGAGTCGTATTAATTGAGATCGAGATTGAAAATGTCAACATTTGATTAACGTATAATATATGCCAGGGTACATTACCTAACCTGACAAGATTCGACATTATTTTCTTTACTGTCAATGTTTTAATTATTTTGACATTGTAGTCTTGGATTTATTCTGTGTTAATTTTCGCTTGCCGCACGCATATAATTCTTTCATATCTGTAATATTTTGATGAGATTAGGGTTTCTGCATCAATTATGAAATACACACAATTTGATTCTCTACGGTTACATATTTTTGATAGAAGAAAACATGTTGCTTGCTTGTGGAAAGTATCTGGAATTGATCAATTAACTTTAAAAGCATTATTTAACTATGGATACATTTATAGGAAGTACTACATGGTTTTAAGAATAGCGTGTTCTCTATGAAAGGCATGGTTTACGGCAAACGTACCCGAGTTTGTGTAATCAAAGGTCTTATTAAAGATTCTTTCCATTCATCTGATTTAAAATACATGAATTTTCGTTAGTAATCATTTCTAACCAGAAATGTATTGTACCCATAAATATCGCCTAATTCTGATTTTCATTCTGCCCCATCTATCATGACCAGAATGATTCCTATCATTCAGAAAGTACGTAACTCAAATCGGGTCTTTTCATTTGAAATTATTTTAGTGCAGTTTGGCATAAATTTGCTGTCGCTCATTTGTTCAATGCCTTGCTAAAGTTTCATAAGATTCGTTTAGTTTTAAAATACCATTGTGTCAAGCAGTATGTTCCGCTAGTATGACAAATGTAACTTCATAACAACGTATCTCACGGAACAAGTGGTTTAGTTCTTAAAACGTTTTCCAGGGCCGTGATCCCTAAAAGGTATGAAATTATAATAACCTATGCAATACTGTTTGGAATTATTGTTAAAGAGAATCAATGGTAAATTTCTTTTATTTATACATAAAGTGGAAACTTGTATGTTCGATGTAGCATGTATGCTGTTTGCATACTTCAAGCTCCGACAATTCATTAGTCTTTCAGTCAGATCACTTATATGAAAGTTATTATGTTTGCATGAACATAATCAAAAACTCTATTTAGTAAATGACCTCTTTACTAAGATATTTTGAAGTTTTCCGATTTTAAGTATTTTGTCATGAAGCAAGTCAGAATGACATTGAGAATCTGTTTGGTCAAATTCAGTGAAATATGTCAAATGCTTAGGGAGCAAATGAAAGCTTTGTGAATAGAAGCAAATATCCTTACACCTTTTGACATTAAACAATGAAAATAAAATAGTGTTCTTAATAACTCCTAACTTCTGAGATTACTTCATACTTGTGCAACCAATTAATACACACGCGCCAGGTACACTGAAGGTTTGAAAGAAAATCAAAACCGTGACACAATTGGCCTCTAACTGAACCAATATAAAATAGCAGATTTGTGTCAAATATATCAACATAGTCATATTAAACAAAACCAATGAATTTTAATATCTCTGAAAACTCCATCAAAAATCGATCGTTTTCATCGAGTGTTCAGTTACCTCCCGTGAAATTGACTTCACACAATGAATATGCAACCTAGGCGTCACTCTTCACAGTTCTCTCTCATTATTCCAACATATCATGAACATATGAAAGGCGGCATATCAGGAGCTGAGACGCATTAGGTCAATTAGCTATTTCCTTTCTGTTTATGCCACCAAAACATTTTTCTTTATACTTCTTGACTTATATTTTGTAATTTTCGTTTAATAATTTCCATGTTTGGGAGCCAATGCTCGCAAAAGCCTGACATTATTCAAATCGTTTCATAAATTCAATATTAAATCATTACTCATTTGAGATGATCTATGCATTGCATTGGTAAAGAGTTTAGGTTGAATTTGATTTGATTCTTTAATCTATTATACATTCATGTAGTATACAGTTAGTCATTCGTGTTGATGTTCCGTTTCATTTTATTCGTTATCCATGGGTATTAAATATGTTTTATTTATCCCAAATGACCAGCCATATGTGTTTCATGGGCCAAACAAAGTATTTAATGTCTGTTAAGTATCGGAGCTACAATTTGATATTTTACTGACCATTCGTCACTAGCAGGTACCTCGGGAGGTCTTCATTTTCTCACAAGAACTCCCTTTTTAATGAAGTAATATACAGGTACTTTAGTTGCTCCTTTTTCACTAATAGCCCGCTGAAACAAACAGGAGATCTCAGGATCCTTCTCCTGTTCAACAACACGTTTTTGTCGTTTATCATTCTGATCAGATAAAATAGAATATGTTC